AATGGCATTCCCCGCACACACCACTTAAATGAGACCATGTTTCTGGTAAGTGCTTGTTCTTGTTTTACAGGGGGGCACGGGTGGCCCAGTCGTCTGAGGCGCCGCGATTCGCTGTGCAGAGTTGCGTCCTTTCGGCGTGCCAGAAACCTATGATTGTGGGTTCGAATCCCGGTTCGCCCAGATTATGTTTCTAGGTTTGTCAGTTTAACCCAACTCACTCACTCACTCTTGTTTTACAGTCCCATTTGCAATTACAGCAGATGATGTCCAGGACTGCTGAAAGTGTTGCAGGCTGATCTGTCTGTATTAGTAAGCAACGTCCATCTATCCTGTCATCCCCACCCTGATGGATTCATATTGAATCCTTTCCACTCCATTATCTGGTAGTGGACATGGGGGGCTGTGGCTACAGAGGTTGCAATGGCGGCAGTGTTGGTGGCTTACATGTGGTAGGTTCTTTGTCACCTTCTCACAAAATCACTTGTGCCTTAAGCTATCAAGTCCTTCCTCCTAACATCACATAAAGGCACAAGTTAATGTTCGCCTGTTTTGTATGTACAGAAGTGCACCCAGATCTATCCAGTTAGTCACCCAGACGTGCAATAAAGATCTGTTTGTTTTTTGCGTTGTTCATGAATGCTTCCTTCTTCGATCGAATGACCATTTCCTGTGAAATAAACTGTCACTCCACTACAGTACTGTTCTTACTTGAACTACCAGCACTGTTCAAGTAAGAACTCTGTAGTCACCCGCCGGCATTGTTTGAATTATCTGCAGGCCAGGAAGGCAACCCTTGCTGATGCTATCTGGAAAACCCTCCAAGTTAAACAACAAGAACCTGGAAATGTCCAGTACATTCTTGATGGTAGTGCTATACTTCATGGGCTACCCCGACCAAGAGGTTCTACGTTATATCATGTATTTGAACTACAGTGTATATACCATCTATATATTGTGCAGAAATATGCTGCTAACATTGTCTTGTATGGCCAATGGCTTCATGGCTTTCAACGAAAGATGCCACACACATGAGAAGAACAGGGTCATTCGATCGTAGAAGGAGGAATTCTTGAACAAAGCAAAAATCAAACAGCGTTTTATTGCCTATCTTGATGACAAACTGGAGAAGCTGGCAAAACAAGACGCTGTCACATCTGCAAGGAAAACAGACACTGTCCTGGTTGGAGATGACACAGATTTGCTTATCCTCCTTCCTCATCATGTTTAAAAAGAACCACATAACGTTTCTGGCACCCGAACCCAAGCAAGCTTCAAGAAGGAACAGGATTTGGTGCATGATCAATCAAAGCGGCTGCTGGGCAGTGATGTATGTGAGCATGTGCTCTTTTTACATGCAATTCTTGGCACCACTTCTCGACTGTGTGGCTTGGTAAAGGGTCTAGCAGTGAAGAAAATGATGCCTTGTTCTGCCATCAGGCTGGGGCGGTCGGGTAGCCTAGTGGTTAAAGCGTTCGCTCGTCACGCCGAAAACCCGGGTTCGATTCCCGACATGGGTACAATGTGTGAAGCCCATTTCTGGTGTCCCCCGCCGCGATATTGCTGGAATATTGCTAAAAGCGGCGTAAAACCATACTCACTCACTCACTCACTCACTGCCATCAGGCTAAACATTTCAGCCAAACAGGGAAACTGGGGATGAAAAAGTCATCACCGAAGCAGGTGAACATATGTCTATATATGGCGGATATAAGGTGGAAGGACTGCACAGCTTATGATACAAGCGATTTTTGGGAGAAGGTGTCGAATAATTGATCACATGCAGAGCAATAAACTCTGCCAGCAAACTCTGCAGTCGCAAGATACCACAGCCCCCATGTCAACTACCTGATAAACGAGTGGAAAGGGTCCAGTGTGAATCCATTTGAGCGGGGATGGCACAGGACAGATGGACGTTGCTTATCAACACAGTCAGATCAGACTGCAGCACCTTCAGCGCTCCTTGATATTATCTGCTGTAATTTCAAAGAAAGACTGTAACACGCGAAGATGCACTTGTCGGAAATATGGTCTCACTTGCAGTGTTCTGTGCAGGGAATACCATGGTACAAGCTGTACCAATAAACAGTTACCAGACTTCTTGGGGATGTCAAACCTGTTGAGACTTTCGAGGTACATGTATATAATGACCCTGCAACGTCAAGCTGCAGCATTCACTGTGACATTTTTTTCACTCTTCATCACGTAATAATGTTCATGGATCACACAATCATGTGACGGAATGCGCAGTGGATATGAAGTTTCAGATTTATATTCAAATATTGGTATTTGGTGGTTATATTGAATTATTAACATGACAATAAAGGCTATAACAAGTTTCGTTTTCATTCCTGTAAATACTTGTTGGAAACAAGGATGACCTATATGAGGTCCTCTCAGAATTTACCCCAAACCAGTTGTTTCACAAGAAGTCGATGAGTTATCTCAACTACAAGGGAGATAACTCATCGACTTCTTGTGAAACAACTGGTTTGAAAACGAAACTTGTTATAGCCTTTATTGTCATGTTAATAAGTAGATTCAGACAAAAACAATCAACATTGATATCTAAACTCGCCAAAACATGTCATTTGAGAGATAAATATTGATATTTGGTGGTCATATTGGATTTATTCAAATGATTGAGTATTCTACATATATCCTTGGGTCTGTTTACCCCAATGTAGAACTTCAAATCATTCAAATATGTCATCAGAGACCAACAGTGTCTTGACATTCTATGTCTAGCCATTAAACTCTTGGCGGCCATCTTGGAATGTTGGGCCACCAGGGGGCTCTGGTGACGGAATTTCTTAACTAAAAGTGTTAACTATACTTCAGTGAGTTAGTGTGCCAAGTTATATGCATATAAGTCGTAGCACACTGTTTTAGAGATAAACGATTCAACAGTATAAACACACATTTAGGAAACTTGGCGGCCATCTTGAAATTGGCGGCCATCGTGAATTTGTGCAGATTTGTCAATAATCGAAAACGTTCAGGAGTTATGAATATCTTTTTAGAAGTATAACACGGATGTTTCGCAAGACAACACATGCTTTTTTTCATCAAAACATTGACCCTGACATATGGAAGATATATTGATAATTGGTGGCCATATTGGATTATGCAAATTAGACATATTTCCCAAACTGGGATTGCTTGGGACTTTTAGTATGTTGTTTTCGGGACCTTGTAGAAATGCATTATGGTAAAATCAATTCTGTTGCAATTTGTTCCAAGTTTAGTGAAAAAATGGCCTAGATTGCCTGGACTATAAGAGGACTGAACCCTCTAGTGAGTTCCAACATCTTAAGGAGCGTCTGTGTACCAAGGGCCCTGTATGGATGTGAATTGTGGTGTGGCTTAAGCAAAGCTGAACTGTTATCATTAGAGCGTGCCCAGAGAGCTGCATTAAAAATTGCACAAGGTCTCCCTCGAAGCACATGGACTGATATTTGTAATGCCCTATAGGATGGACCCCCTTGGAATCTGAAATAGACAAGAGAAAACTTCTGTTTCTAGGGAACCTATGCAATAGCAGAATAACGTTCCTTCCGAGAAGAATTTTCAGTACTAGGCTTTCCCTCTCAAATTACTATTGCTCTCCCACTTCCCTGGGTTATGTTCCTGACATTAAACGTATTATTTCTAAATATAATCTTTAGTACCCATGGTACATTCCCCAGCTGTCATACCTGGAAGAAAGTTGTGAAAGATGCCATTAAAGCGAATGATCTTGAAGCCTGGAGAAGACGCATAAACTCTGATCCAGATCTAATGCATTTTAAACAAATCCATCCGGTTATCTCCCCCCACAAAGCATGGGAAATTGCTAGAAGAAATCCAGATCTGAAATAGCTGCAACCTTCGTGATCCACTTGTGCGCAGTCTGAAGACCTGGGAAAGTCCAGGGGCATGTACACCCCCGATCCCAGCAAATCCAGAGACGGTAGAGAACTTTGCAAAAGCTGCAGTCAAAGGTCTCTTCCAATTGAAGAATAATATAGACCTTGTGAAGAAACATATGTTCTGACATGTGACTAGGGATTGACTTTACATAAGAATGCCTGTTTTCGTACACTTGTAAATACTGTCTTTATATGTTTGTAACTCTCCTATGGAGGACTAAAGAATAGATATATGACACATTTTGGATAAGTTCAGAGCCACACATGTGCAACATTTACACTGTGGAGAACAGTTCCACAATGTGCTTATGTTAGGGTGCGCTGTTAGGACCACATCCTTTCATCACCCTTGGTTCGAGAGATACATGCCCTTGTCTGTACAGCATCTACCAGCATCGGTATTGTAGACTTTTCCCCCGCATCAAGCTTTGCACATCATCATATGACCCGAGCTGCTGAAAGCAATGTAAAACCCAACTCAATCATCTGTACTTTTATGTTAAATGTTTAACTTGCCTGAAAATAACTTTTTCTATTCACTATATAATTGTTGTAGCCTCTTGAGAATATAATTGCGTTTATTTTCTTGTGTACTATGTGTTAAAATGTTTATCCTAAATAATTTGTACTACCAGGTCAAAAACTTATAGTTACCAAAAAAATAAAAACTTCTTTAGTTGAATGAATCAATATTTTTTTTTTAGTAAAAAACATCACTTTTTAAAACATTTTACAAATCAAGAAATATAACAAGTCAAACTCATTTTTAAAAATCACTCTATAACAGACTTTTATTTTTCTGATACGGACTATACTAGACTCTGTCCGACAAGTTAACGCTTGACTGCACCCCATACCATGGCCAGCTACCTGCCTGTAGATGTTATAGTCCGTTCTACATAGCGTATACATTTGTAAACACATCCAACTGAACCTTATCTCCCCCCGATAATACAAAGGGGCTTTTTCCTGACTTTAAATGAATATGGGCCATCAGTACCTCCTATTTTCCTGGACGGGTCTCCTACTATATACTTAGAATGCGAAATCGAAAGGGAAAGTAACAGTTCTAGGATCAACACTCATGTATTAGACAATGCAATATTAATGTTTGCACACGGGAGTATTGAGCTGTTGATAGTGCCAACGTATACGCATAACAAACATAACTACCACGTCACCCGTTGAAGAAGAGCTGGAAAAAGTAACACCTACATAAATCATCATGGCTGTAGGAGGGAGCATGGCTGGCGACAAAGGTAAAGATGTGTGTGTTCGAGTGTCTGAATTATTGTATAGTGTATGCTTTATCTATTAACTCCAATGACTAATAAATATGTATGGCAAAATATTTCTTACCCGTTATATAGACTGATATAAACATTATTGATTGCAGGGTATCTCAAAGGACTGCTCAAGAAAGCCTGCGCTTACTGTAAAGGAGGGCCATGGGGCCTAGTGAGGGATTTTTACCGAAATAAACCTAGTGGCTATTTCAAAGATCTTGCAACAATGATGCCAACAGTAAAGGACAACGGTGGAGATCCACGCTGTCCTGTAAACGGGAAGCTTTCGGGTGTGTTCTTTGGGGTGACCCCGTGGGACGGTGATCTGCCAATTAGATCACCATTTGGAGACACCAGAGTGAAGGTTCCCCTGGAGCGAGTCTTTGATGAGTCAGCCAGGCTGTACTTCGCGGATTTCTACTGTATGTCAGGTCAAACGGATAACCACTACGTCACATTGGTCCTTACAAAGGCTTATTCACCAGCGGATGAGTTTTGTCATCAACACCTCATTCATCTGGATGAAAGGAATAACATTTTTCTGATGAAGGAAGCACACAAGTTTAATCATCGAGACTTAGTATCAACCTTGTTCCTGGGCAAAGTGTGGGTAGAAGTGTTCTATACACATAAAGTGCCCATGCAAGGGCTGGAGCTGACAACAACAGACGTTTTGGGGAGTGGTAGAAGCACCCAGGGAGGCATACCTAAAACAAATGGCTGTCCAATATGCAATCTTTAATGAGTTTAAGTTGTTTTCTAGATGGTTGTCATAGGAGTGTTGTCTCAGTAGTGCCACTGAATCTACTATAAATAATTCTGAATTAATATTTTAATATATTCCTATATTACTTTTTGAGGCTAATCTCCATTTCATATGTGATACCATAACAATAATTGATAATTGTTTGCCAGGTTTTAATAATATTTTAGAAATATATACTTTTTTGTGTGCATTCGACGTTTTTTTGTAGTTTCTAGAAATAGGACTTGAAATCACAATTTGAGAAAGTGGAATTCTTCATGGTTATGTTATTTTCCTTTCCTTTCTTCAATTAGACTGACTTTTCACATAAGAGAGATATATGTCAACATTGGAAATATGGACTTTCCACTCCTCAGAGCATAATGACACTATTAAATGTGTCAGATTGTTTGAAATCGATCTGTTTTATGGGAATGTCAGACATGTAAAAATAAATATAAAAATAATTAAGTATTTTAGAATTTATTTTAGTATATTCTTCACTGTGATGTAATCAGTGTTAACCCCGTGCCGTAAAAGGCAACACAATTGGGCAACCCCTTTTCCGGGGGTTGAGCCCCTGTGTCAGTGGAGGAAGTAATTCTGGTCGTGGGGGGCACTGGTTCCACGTACACAGTTCCTTTGCCCAACACACTACTTTGACCCTGACTTCACCTAGACGGGTGGTTGAATGAACCTGGTTCTATCAATTGGCTGGTCACGCCATGCCCTGTGTATGGACAACGTTCATGTTGAAATTGTTTTGCATCGTTTGAATTCTGATAATGAACATTCTTAATGAAAATAATGTGTACAAATTTGCCAGATTCCAATGCCAGAAGGCAGTGGTTTATGAGCTAATCTGGTGATATTGACCTCCAAATTTAATATGTATCTCATTTCTTTTCATGGGCAGAACCAGCCTGGCATTTATTTTGGGTATACAGATATTGCAGTTTGTATCATATTTGCTGGAGTATAACAACCCTGTAGCCCTGGTATTTGCATATTGGATATCTGGTACATTGCATCACTGTCAATAATGGTACTCCATGGTAGATAACAGAACTCGGCTCTGTTATTGAATGGGTCTGTTAATAAAACTGGTTTACCCTCACAAGGAATGGTAATTAAACAATCAGCTTCACGTTTTCACATTGTTTACCTTAACAGGAAATAGTATTGTGGTATCACATTGTCTTTTTGTGATACACAGACATGACCGCGGGAGGGAGCTCGGACAGACGTATGTGTACTTCTACTTATTTAATGTTTTGGAAACTAAATTTACTGACGTGGTTCAAGCCTCGTGAGGATTCCGGGTTAGGATTGTTCACCAAGCAGCCTCAGCTGGATCGGGTGGTCAGTCTCGCTGACGTGTTGAGTGTGTGTTATCGTTCCCGACGCCGTGGGACCTTGCTTATAAAACCAGTCACTGGCCGCAGTGCAAAAGTTTGATTTCTGGTGAGTACGCCGTCAACAACGACAAAAATGACTAGGTTTAAGGAGAAATAGTTGTACACGTCTAACGGAGCCATCATTGTCTGTGAGTTGTTGCTATTTATGTCACCAGGCAAACCTCATCCTTACGGAGCAAGATCAATAGCCAGTGTGTTTGATAACGATGCCTGGCCTTTTTAAGCAGCTCGACTGCATTTTGTTACGTCTTATTCTGGAGGGTTGTAATAGCCAGTGTTATATCAATAGTCTAGTTTAGGTTTCCTGGAACGTTTTCGGTTCGTAGAATCTGTGATCAATAGCGAGTGAAGGCTCGAGTAAATAGTGTGGCTTGAATTAGACACACACCTTACACTGGATTGACTTTCAAACGTCAGTGGGCCCAGTGGACGCTGCAACATCATGAACCCTCACACGTGGACAGTGGAGGGACGCACGATGTCCAATCAATGGGAAACTGAAGGGCCTGTTTGGGGCGATCCTGTATAACGGTGGTCTGTTTAACGCCGCACTCAGCAATATTCCACCTACAAGACAGCGGCCTGTAAATAGTCGAGTCTAGTACAGACAATCCAGTGATTGACACCACGAGCATCGATCTACGCAATTGGGATACGATGACATGCATCAACCAAGTCAGCGAGCCTGACCACCCGATCCCGTTAATCGCCTCTTACGACAAGCATAGTCGCATTTTACGGCAAGCATGGGTTGCTGAAGACCTACCGCCTTTATGAGACGCCCGAGTGACAATACCACAGAGGGACGTTTTTGATGCATGTCTATACCTTGTTGATTTATACTGCAAGACGTCACACATTCATTATATGACCTTAGTTTTGACAGCGACTGGCTCATAGCTGACCAGACCTGTAGGAAGAGCCTGATCAAATTGAATACGTATGAGAATATATATTTGAGAAGAATATTGTTTACTGGTACATACAGAACACTGAACCGATCTGGAGTTCAAGTGGAAGTCATGTATACAGAGGCCATGGACATGTCGCTCCGGGTTCTCTCCCTTACTGGTGCCCTTGGTCAAGGTCACACCACACTACGTAAGCGCAAAAGAGGTAATACGTTCCAAAATGAAAACTATTTAAATGATGGCGGCTCTCTAGGAAATTGAACAACTGATACGCATTGAGCTTTGCATGCTATTCTTACTCCGGGGTCACTTGTTGCGAATTGGTATTTTGATAGGCCTCTGAGTTGTACCTGTGCAAAAGTAAGGACCTTTCTTTATCAATCTCATTAAAATCAGATCTTAGCTCTCGCTATCGCTTAATAAAGATCTGAGGACATCCCATTACGGGTCACGTCAGAACGACCTTTCAACCAACCAATCAAAGCGTCGCTTACCAGATCATGAAACTGACAGTCGGAATGTGTTTTCTAATCTTGCAACCTCGAAATATTTAACAGAGGGTATTCAGAACGACATGTGATGTTATCATTGATCCCACAATTTCATTGAAACTGCATTTGTTCCCTTTCCTCCTAAATGCCTATACCGCGCAAGTGGATTTCACCAAAGTCGGTCGGTTCGAATTCCGGAATCCCTAATTATATTTCTAGGTTTGTCAGCACAATACCCGTGCTTGTGGACTGCATCAAATTGGTAAACGTCTGACACCTACATTACTTCTGGCTTTCCCCCGATAAAAACTGCATCTTAACACTGTGATGTCGAGATGCTGTTGGTACGTTGATGCCACGAATCGACGATAGTGCTGTCCTCGGACATTTCACTTTTAATGAGGTAATAATCTATTACATTACCATTACATGGATCTAATATTAGAACCGATTTTCCCGCACAGGCGAAGATATGACTCAAAATCATACAACGGTTGTTTTACACATGCAAGTTAGACAACAGACAACAAACTCGTGTAACGGTCACACATAGCTTTTACTCACTGTGTCAGCAACATGGCCAGTGGAAGACACCAGGATAAAGGTAGTTCTGAACAATATTGAACGTGATTGATTTCAGCAATTTCTAACACGATTGTTGTTTATATTTGCGCATCGTTAACCATGAATAGTATTGGCCTTTCTATCAACTGACATAGCCAAGAGTTCCATTTGTGTTAACATCTATAACCTCTTAGTCAGCATAAATTTGAACTGGTCAGGAAGAATATGAAAAAGTATTCTAATTTACACAAAACTGCATGTGTCAAAACGACGGCTAACAACGTCCGATTTGGGGAATATTACTTCCTAGAACACAAAAATACCTGCACAGATAACGTGGTTAGTGACATACCGCAGCAGGAATATATATGATACTGCTTTCTACTTTGTCAAGGATGGAGGTGGAGAGCGCCTGTATTCGGCGGTGCGTGTGATTTTGATTATTTTACAGTACCCTCCTTCCAGACATTCCTACGTGCACACACACAGACACAGACACACAGAGACACAGACAGACAGACACACACAGACACACACAGACACACACAGACACAGACAGACAGACACACACACACCTGGAAGAGGCTGAGTCATCATGCTGTTATTTTGAATCCATGACAACCGGAATTCATCAGTTCGCCATGCCAAGCCTCGTTCTTCACTTTCACCTTGAATACACTCAAGTTCTATAAAAAGGACCCTTTGACCCCAAACATTAACAAAAATTAACTTATAGAGCATATATTTAACTTGTTTGGTTTAGAAGCATTTTGCATATTGTGTATGTATATCACTGGTTTTCAAATTAAATATGATTAAATCAGGATTAGCAATCAAAGTTTAGGGGGCCACTTCTTAAGGAACGTGTACGTTACTGATAGAGGAAACAAAGTGAAGAATGGACATTAAGCAGCTAACTACAACTGCAGAATATCTTCATAAAAATACTATAACTTCAGTAATTCCAACAATATATATGATGTCACATTTTTTGAAGTACCTACATAAAAATAGGATTCACACCGACAACTGATGGGGTTTCTTTTAAATATTGCAAACAGTAAAACTTTGAATTCAATGGAAATCAGGTTTTGTACATTTCTTTAGAGTGGTTATTCCACAGACCCGCAATTATCAGAGATCATCTGCTCAGTTGTTTATGGCTACAGCTACCTATATCTGATCACAACGTGAGACTCCACGATCCACAACAAATAACGTACATTTCCACATCGCCAGATTTGTATATAAGGCCACCATGGTTTCAAACAATGTTCTCAGCAGACACATTGCTGATCAGTCACGAACATCTGAACAAGTTCTTTGCTTGCATACAATAAAGATGAACAAATTACATTCAGTCATGTTAAGTGAGTGAGTGAGTTGGGTTTAACGCCGCTTTTAACAGCATTCCAGTTATATCACGGCGTGCCAGCTTAATGTGGGAGGAAAGCCCGAAGTGATGCAGGTCTCAGACGTTTACCACTTCGGTGAAACCCACTACCACGGGTATGGTGCTGACAAACCTAGAAACATAATCGGGGCGAACCGGGATTCGAACCCACAATCATAGGTTTCTGGCGTGTCCAAGGGACGCAACTCTGCACAGCGAATCGCGGCGCCTTAGACGACTGGGCCACCCGTGCCCCAGTCATGTTAAGCGAGTCTGAAGAGAAACAAGTTAACTGACGTGTACAATTAAAATGTCAATCTCTCCAGACCACTACATTAGGCCACCTGTGAAGATCCGGGGTAGAGTAGATCTTCAGCAACCCATGCTCGGCTTAAAAGGCAACTATATGCTTGTTGTAAGCGGTAAGAGGCGACTGACGGGATCGGGTGGTCAGGCTCGCTGACTTTGTTGATATATGTCATCGTATCACAATTGCGTGGATCGATGCTCATAATGTCAATCACTGGATTGTCAGGTCCAGACTCGATTATTTACAGACCGCCATCATATAGCTGGAGTATTGCTGAGTGCGGCGTTAAACAACAAACAAACAAAACAAAACTACATTAGTCCAGGAACTTGTATCAACACTAGACCATTACCAACTAAAACGGACATTTCAAATATAACGAACATGTCAATCATCGATAAAGAACAAGGAGATGTGTTTCATACGCTATGTGTTTGACGTGGTATGTGATTTAAGCCTCATGTAACAACTTCCTCCTTCCTTAGTACTTATTTCAGATTGCATAATCAAACAATTGTATTGTTATCAGATCCTCTTCCCAAATCGCTCCTCAATAATGTCAATATACGAGGGTCATTCAATATATAACCAGCCTAACATATTTGCTACTGCTCCTCACTTCTTCTTTTTCAACATAATCACCATTGAGGTCTATGCACTTTGTCCAGCGATGTGTGAGAGCTAAAAGCCCGTTGTGATAGAAACCATGGGGTTGTTCGTGTAACCACCCCTCCACTGCTGTCGTGAGTTCATCATCGGACCGGAAATGACGTCCACGCAGTTCTTTCTTCAAGTTTGGGAAGAGAAAGTAGTCGCTAGGTGCCAGGTCAGGTGAATAAGGTGGATGAGGCAATACTTTAAACCCGTTCCGCTTTGACGAAAATTTGGCAGAATCAACCCTTGCCATCTTTATAGATCACGTGTGTGACTTCAAATACAATTTCCTCAGTGAAACTTTGTGCACAGCACGTGACCAACATGCAACCGTTAAGATCTGATAAATAGCTTAGGCTGGTTATATATTGAATGGCCCTCGTAAGAAGAAAGCAGTTTGTTGAACTGGA